CGACACAAAGCAATCCCAGTGTTTCGCCTCGGTCCGGCCCTCGCAGAGCCGTGGGGGAGAGGGGTAGTGAGGATAGCAGGATGTCGTACGTGAGAGCAACAAGTACGAGAAACAGAATAGTGTGACCTATAACAGAAGATTGAGGAAGTTGCGTTGTTTGCTCTTAAAAAAAAAAAAAAACCACAACGACCGCATTTCAGAGATGTCTTCCAGGTTTCGAAAGTATTAAAAGGGCTATGATGCATCAGATGTAAGAACCAGCAAGGGTTCCAGGAAGGAGATGGGCTGAAACAGCTCCGTGATTTACCAGCAAAGGAAGTTGTTCAACATCCCTTTTTTCACTGGAGGTTTTCCAGGACTGGTTCCGCGGGCCGCCCCCTGCCCCTTCCCGCGGCCTGCAGAAGAGCCAGCACAAGGAAAGGGAAGGGGTGAAGATAAGAAAGATTGTTGTGGAAAGAAAGGAACGTGGCCGTGACTGAAACGGCGGAGGAGTGAGGGAAAGGGAGACCAAGAGTATGAGAGTTGAGCTCCACGTCAGCATCAGTAAATCAAAGCCTTAAGTGGGTAACTCAGCTTGAGTTGCTCACAAACCAAGTGTTTATTAGTTATTACTACCGAGGAAGGAGATTCCTGCACACATGGTTTTTCCCTCTCTGTGCATTTAAGAACAAAGGCATAGAGAACATCCCAGAGAACATTCCCCGCTGCATTATGGCAAATTGTCAAGAAGATGTTCTGTTGCTGTAAAAACTGAGTAATGTTTACATACCTGTACATAAGTAGTGTTATGATCAGTTCCGATATTTTGATGGTAACAGACAGGCCTTTTATTTCACTTAGTGACAATCTGCAATTCATCATTATATCAGCAAGAGAACAGGCTTGTGCATCTTGTAAAATTGCTGACCTGCAGAAGTGTGTCTAACAATTTCATGTGCTTAAACAGTTAAACAGATAATGGCACACTATGACACAGCTAATAATTAATATTCTATGCAGAACTGGTATTTAAAAAAACAGGCTAGTACATTGTCCATCTGTGTGTTTCTATTCTGGTGCTGTTGTCAGAGTAACCATGACACTTTACGCCAACTACTATCTCTTCTTCTGAGTCTAACAAGATCTGGATGACAAATGAATACTGATTTACTTCAATAAATCTGCCAATTCTGTGATCTGTAATGAGCTATGGGTACATTACACTGTATTTTGGGCATGGAAGTGTTTAATTTGAATTACAAGTGCGTAGCTGCTCCCAGGATCAGATTCCATGGCGGCATGTCCTGTCCTGCCACATACTAATCCTTCTCCTTTGTTCCCCAGGAAAACACAGCAGTTTTTATTCTGTTTGCAGCTGGAAATAAAAGTGGGCCAAGGAGAAAGGATTATAATTTCCTCTGAATAAAAGGAAATTGCTCTCTCAAAAGTGTATGCTTGGTTTGATGTCCCCTGCCTTGATGGTTGTTTAAAGACATTGTGAAAACATTTTTTTACACTAAACATGTATTCTGCAGTGCAGTGGGACTATATGGTTTAGAACTGAGAAAGAACACTGACCCAAATGCTGCACATATTTCTAAGAAATTTAGTAGGCAGTAGAATAGTAGGACAGAATAAAGCAGGTGATGAGGAAAAGGAAATAGCATAACCAAAAAACATTTTACTCCATCCTATAAATTCTTTCAGTGCCTCATATTTTCACAGCTTTTTGGCTGGAGTCTGGAACAAACCAGCAAAATAACACTTTGAAACCTCTTGATTAAATGGGTACAGGAAACATTGCTGCTGAAGCCTGCTGTCTCTGTGAGACAGGCACACATGGCAGCGACAGGGACATGTGCAACAGCCCCGTGGGACCTGGATCTCCTGGCAAGAGACTGATCCAAAACATACAAAGGACAGCATTTCAGAATTATTTTTTAATACAAACACATGTTTAGCAACTTTCCCCCATGTACCAACAGCCTTATCTGAACACCAGGAAATACTAATTTCTGCAAGGAAGAGATACCCTAGTTCACTGAATATTATGCAGAGAGAGAATAACTAATTGAAATGCATTTCCAAGGCAGTGTTTCAAATAGATGAAAGAAATTAGTGAAAGGCTTACTCATACACCATTATGCAGCAAGGCCCCATTAGCATGCATTAATGAAGCACTGTAAACCTTACTTTTGAATTACATTGTTAAGCTTGTGTCGCACCCTCAAAGGCATTGAGTCAGGTTTTAATATTCCCTGGTGGTAGAGACTGAAAGGGTAAATGTGGGCAACTGCATTTAAAAGGGTATTTCTTTCACCATTAATCTGCAGCTTCAGCTCATGTTGAGTCCAGACTTTTAAACTTGCATATATTTGATAAATTTTAAAAAATAGATTTCTGACTAGAATAAATACCATTGTTATGTCAGATCTATGAGTCCTTAATAACACACAACTCACTAATTACTGGTTATTAGGGCAGTCTTCATTCATCTTTAGACTCATGTAAGTTATGTAAAAATGTACACCTATTTCTTAAGCACCAGCAAGATCAGATGCATGTAAATACACTATTATATATAAAATAAAAAGAATCCTGTAACCACTTTTTCTAGCTCTTTGATGAAGAAATACGAAAGTAATTAGTCATCCACTTGTACAGGCCAATGTCAGCTTTAAAAGCACATTCAATTCTCTTCCAGTGATTTAAATGCAGATTTTAAGTCCATTTTTAAAATTTTCAGTAAGCCAGAGCAATCATACTAATCTCAGTTTAAAAGAATGGCTTATTTCTTTACACATTACTTAAGATGGTCTAAATATATACATATATATTAAAACAAATATATTAAAACAGTAAAAGACATGATTCAACATTTTCTTTTGCCTCTGAATTAGGATGGGCCCTTCGTAATAATAACCTTGGTTTTGTTCAGTTTGGATTCATATGCAAATATTAGAGGAAATTTAACATTTGTTAGAATATTCTTCCCATTTACATTGTTTTAATAACAAAAAATTTAAAAGGTTCGCTGAATAAAGTAGTTTCAACACAGTTTTGTGGCCTTGATTTCATAAGTAATTAATTGCAGAGGTCTCAACAGACACCTCAAAGCTGTGGTTCTTGTCCAGCCATTACTACTCTCTTACATTAAAACTAGGTTAAGAGAACTTCCATTTGAACTAAGGTTTTGGGCATCAGTTTAGGATATTGGTCATGCTAATGGGATGCACATAAACAGGATGCATGGAACAAGTGACAGCCACAAGGTGTTCAGTAGCCATTCTGCAATGCTTGATGAGCTGGGTTTAGGCAGTGCAGAGGCCAAAGCTGACCGTGCCATGGGTGCCCTGTGCCTCATCCTCCTGAAAGGGCACAGCTTTTAGTTAGGAGCTTGTCCATCTCTGAGCTCCCAGGTGAAGACAGGAGCTGTGGTTCAGTATCAAGCACCTCAAGCTGAGAGCTTTTTTGGCACAAGAGCACATACCAGTAATATCCTTGTCTACTCAAAGTAGAAAGTTTGTTTCATCTTTCCATTCTCTACAAAACAGCAGGAAATCTGCTATAGCCACGGTGACCTGGCATCTCAGTCTGCAAAGTCCAACAAACTGTCACCCAAACTCCCTCAGGCACAAGGAATTCTTCATGACCTTTCACTCCAAGGTCCATATCCTCCCAAAACCTGGAATCTGAATATCATCTGGATCTAGTTAATTTCCCTGAAGTTTTGGCACTGCAGTGGACCAAAGGCAGATACCCTTTTACTACTGCTATTTTTTATTAATTAGTTTTTATTTGGCTAGTGTTCCTGTGGGTGCAGCAAGCCTTGGCATTTAGAACCTCTGCAACCTCATATATAGCAGGAAAAAAAAAGAGAAAAAGTTCTCTTGTCTTTCAAACATAAACATGGCATCAGTCTGCAACTGCTGAAACCAGAGCTACCTTTGTGGGTGGCTCCGTTCTTTCTGAAAACAGCTTTGTAAGCCATTGCAGGAAGAGGATACTACCATTCATTAAAGTTATATTGGCAATCTGTGTCTCAAAGTCCCAGCTTAGTCATACATTTAAGTGCCTAATTTCCTCCATATACCAATTATGCACATATTATGGGTATTTTCCAACTGATATCAAAGCTGTCTTGTGCATTGCAGATAAGAAACGTCAACATGAGCGTGTTCTGCTCCTTCCTCATTAATGTGCACCACATTGCCTCTCTGTGGCTAAATCTCCCTCGCTTCCATATTTCATTTTTTCTGTAGTTCCTGATCAGCCTGTTAGCTCTTCAACACCTTCCCTGCAGTAGGAAGAGTTAAGCAATAACAGTGGGACTTTATGCTTTCACATAGCAAAGAAAAACTGGCTTAGAGCTGTGTGTGATGAAAGGTTTAATTGCACAGCTTAATGCTCTGTTGAGGAAACAACTGTCCAACAGACCAGTTGTTAAGAGAGGATCTATTCTGTACAGGATGAGAAACCTTTTACATATGCAGTGTAATCACATAAATATTAACAGGAAAATTACTGGTCTAAGTACCTTGAGCCTTTTGTGTCACACAAATCTCTGTGTATGAAGGAAGGACCGTTTTTCTGTAGAAGTCCAGGCACCAAGCACTTACACCATCTCTCTAGGCACTCAGGACTCCACCTTTATAGGTAAGCAGCTAAAATTTTGAATTTCAGGCATTAACCACAAAGTATCTGGAAGCCTTACAGGAACCCACTCATCAGAGAATATCTTAACACCACTGTAAAACAGCACTGTTTTCTTCCTGTAGTTCCACAGCAATTATGAAAGGCAGACAAGATTGTTCTTATATTCAACTGTTGGCTTTTCAAGGCAGTGTCACAGTGCTGACAGCAAAGTAAATCCAAACATGGTCAGGAGCAGCCATTTAATCATCTTTCACTGACAGATTGGAGTTACTTTTTCCATTGATACCATATTTAGTAACATATAATGAACTTCATGAACATGGATTTTAACACTGTTAAATTATGCTTATTCTTACTGGCATAGTAAGATTAAAGGTATTTATTAATCTCTCAACATTTTTTGTCTATACAGAGTGGAAGCTACAACAGCACCTGGTAGTCCAATATGGCAAGAGCATACAAAGGAATAGTACCACTTGTGTGGGTTGCAAGTTACCATATCACAGGCAACTTGGAGCACAGCTTTGACACCTGTAATTGTATAAAGCTGCTCTGCAGGAGATAAAAAAGACATATTAGGCTGTGAAAAAGACAAATACCTTTTCTATACATTGACCACAGGTGTATGCAGTATTGTGGAACAGTCAGTAAAGCCTAGCAGGAACACCAAGGGATAAGACAGCAAGAATTGAAAATACCTCGCCATCCCAAATTCTTTTTCCCAAGGAAGCCAACAGTTCTAAGACTCTGCCAGACTACATAAAAACCAGTTGATCCTGCTCTGCTTGCAAGTTATTTTACTTCTGACTAAAAAAAGAAACCATAAAATGACATCATGTCAGAGCTGCAATGTTTCTTGATTGTCTTGATGTAAGGTCTTCACAGCCTACAATGTAGATTTAAAAGTTTGATCAACTGGTATTATTTCTGTACTTTATTTCAGTCAAGCTCAAAAATCCACCAAACCCCCACAATGGAGTAAGAGCTTGCATAGAACAGAGAAGACTTGATGTAAAATTGTGCTCTCTAGTGGAGAAATTTCATTCTGTGCAATAAAATTCAAGCCATGCTGATCCATCCAGTTAACCAACAGGTTTTCAGTGCAGAGAAAGTATCAACATTTTCCACAATATGAAAAGAGTGCAAGTGCCCAGTTCAACATATTTATTATAACTAAGATAGGCTTATACTGAGTTACATGACAGATTACAGGTACATAAGGTTTCTAAATATAGAACAAAAAATACCTAAGCCCTAAGACATGTGTTATGTTTGTTAGATCTTTTAAAATAATGACACTCTTAATGTAATAGCAAAACATTTCTTTTTAATGATGTTGCACTTTTTTATGGTCCTATATAATACTATATAGTCTGATGAAAATAGGTTACTTTCACACCAGATAGTGCTACTTGGTTTACATGATCAAAACTAGGATTTTTCTCTATATAAGTGTTTAATAACAAATTTTCTGTTCATTTATTTTTAGAGAGAAGAACTGAAATATTCACCTACTCCTTTATTTCTAGTTATACCACTAATTTTAAATCTACTGAATGGCTCTTCAAGAAACCCTAACTCCTGTTCAGTGTGTTTTCTTACAATGTTAACAAAACACAGCCCATTTTCTTCATGACAACTGCCCTATCAGCACTTTTTCTCGCCAGGTATAGATGGCTGAATGCATTAACTCTGTATAATAGCAGATGAATTAGAATCTGTTCTTTCAAACAACTTGGCCACTTTCTGCATCCTCAACACTATACAGGAATTAGCTTCTTTAAACTCTGTATCTTAACTAGGCTGTTACAGTATATCTCAAGTTAGAAGACAGAAATGTAAAAGACTTGAAAAAGCTAAATGTACAGTTAACTATGCTAATTTTAAAATATATTAAAATTTGGTGTGCATTCTAATTCAAGAGTAAGGATCTAGCAAGACATGGATATTAGATTTCTCTTATGTGGTTACAGAATGTTATGATCGGCTGTTGACTGTTACAGAAAGCAATACTCCCTCTTCCTTTTTGGACCTAAAAGATAAAATATGGGGGAGGGGAAAAGCTGTTTTTTTTAACATATACAGAAACACAGAGCTACCATTCATGTTTTAAGTTCCCTAGTATACCCAGAAAAGGCAGCCTAACAATCCAGCAAAGCCAGCAGCCTAGATTTAAGAAGTATCACAACTACAAACAGAATCATACAAGTTAAAAGATTTGCCAGCTATAAATTTTTTAAATGGAAAAAAGTTCCTAACTGATCTTCTGCCGAGAGCAAGGGCAGAGTTTGCTGACTTCCAGCATAACTTGTGCTGATATGGCAGCAATTTAAACACTTATAATTAGTTAATCCCATGAGAGCAAGCAGATTTCCTGTTTCTACAATGGTAGTCATACAGAATTTTGAGCTGGGGAACAATTGTCAGTGATTGGGTAAGAGAAAAACAGAGTTCAGCTTCAGCAGTTTTGTCATGTCACTTAATAGAAAGATGAATAAGAACTAAGTAATAAACTCTAGTTTGAGAATGTCTAAATATTTATGGATATTTATTTAAATATTTATGAAGTGCTGGAACTCTGCAAAATGCTGTTTCCATTCAATACCCTCTTGCAACTTTTCACAATTTTCTTTAAATGTGTGTCCTTCACATGGCCGTAACACTTACACCACATGCAAGAAAATATTAATTTCATATAAAACAGTCTTGAAATTAAGGAGCCAGAAAGACAAGCAAGATATCCCTTGAAGTCCTGTGTGGTTACTGTTACAGAGAGGTAACAAAGAGAGGGATCTTAAACATGTTTAGTTTAAAATTCAATGGTGGTCAAGCAAAACTAACACACAGGTGTGAGCATATTGTAGCACCACTGGAAGTTAACTGGTAGGTGCAATTAGCTGTGTTGCAGCAATAGCTGCCAGTCACAGCAGTGTGTGTGCATGGATGGGAGGCAGCCCAGTCACTGAGGGACACATCTCTTGCTCTAAGTCTCATGTTTGCAAAAGCTCCATTTTTAGATACAAAAGTGTTATCTCGGCAAGGCAGAAGTTTCACTGTGTTTTGCAGACTCAGCTAACTATCCTACATTAGAGTTTATTCACTATCAAAAGGCATTAAAAAATACCAAAGATTTATGCAATAGGTTGTAAAGCATCTAAAAAACAGATCCAAAGTTATCTGGCAGCTACAAGGTCGTACTTAGCAACTCAGTTTAGCCCATGTAAGAAGGGAAATCATGCGATACCTTCCAATTAAAAATCCTCTGCATTTCCTGAGAGGAGAAAAAGACAGATGCCAAAATCCCAGACAATTCATACTGACCTCCAATCCCATACTATATGACAGCTTTGAGAAGCTTTTGGGACAGAGCTAGGAAGTCATCCACAGTGACAAATTACAGTTGTTTCTACAACACTACCATGACAGACCATTTTCAGGATTATTTACAATAATTCCTTCAGTTGATATTGTGCGAAGAACACCAAAGCTCATACTGACCTATTTTAATTCAGGTACTCTCCCTACTCCATGATAACAAGGTTTTAGAGAATATGAAAGCACAGTCCAGGGGTTCCTCATAAGACAGAGCAGATTTCAGCCTTCTCTCAGTTTCCTATATTTCAACAGTTGCAGAAGTGCCATTTGTGTAGCCACCTTTAGACTTCATGTGGTCCTGAATTGACACAGCCTAGGGGAAAAAAAAGCTTATTAGAAGACACATCTTCTAAATTCTGGTTGCCAGAGCAATTATTAAGGGCATCAATTTGAAAGGGCAGGTGGGCCAGGTTTGAGTCCCAACTCATATGCTGAGTCTAAAGAGCAGGGAGAAATAATAACTAAATCCAGGAATGTTAAATACTATTTTAAATCAGTGTTTGAGATGCATTTTTCTACACAAAATCCACTTATTCTTACATCCCTCACCCTCCACAGCTTTGACTTCAAAGTGATTTGCTTCTAGCATCAAGTGCATCCATAGAATCTGCACCCAAAAGGTTCTCATAGTGAGTAAACTGAGGAAATGAGCATTTCCTTCTCAGTGTATCTCCCACAGCATCTCATGTTTACCAACCAAAAGACAGTTCTGTTCTGACGCTACTCTATTGATAAAAAACCCCTCAAGGTTTTTCTCTTTTTTACAATTACCTAGTATTTAATTAGCTACCTGCTCTACAGTTTACTGTGGGGAGGAGTGTGCTTCTCCCAGGGGTGCACACTTACTGAGGAATAGTCACTACTCATGTCCCGGGCCCCGACGTGCGCGGTGTGCACAAAGTTCATTGGCTCTCCTATCATATTCCGGTCCAGTCTCCGGCGCCTCTTCTGTGAGAAAATAAGATATCTTAGCTCTCTCTCTATTCAGAAATCACCAGCAGCTTTCAGCCAGAAACAAGTAGCCAAGATAAAAATAGATAGCCAGGACTGACCCCTAATGACACCTCATGGCAAGCAGGCTGAAGTTTCAGACTGTTCACAGTAGGACACTATGAAAGTCACTTTTATTCCTGGTAATTGAATTCTAGCAAAAGCTTTCTTTACTGCTGGAAAGTCAGGGCCTGAGGACTGCAAACAGTCACACTGTCTAAGTTTTTGTCAAAGAACACACAGTTCAAACACAGCTTAACAGGACTGGTTTTGGCTTTTGCATTACTTTGCCCAAACTAATCAAAACAACAGTAAAGAAAGTGTTTCCCACGTAACTGGAAAACAAAATTTCAAACCCAATAAAAGGTGGCAGTTGTGCATCTACCTACCGGTGGGGGCTGTTCACCATTGCACCAATTAAAACAAACCAGGAACTCAGTCATTATATTTCTCAGTAGGTAAAACGGTCTTGTTAAGTGTAATTCTCTGGAAGTTCGAGCAGTACAAGGACAAGTGCAGTTCCTAGAGTGAGCTTAGAAAGGAAATGCTTGTGCAGATTCACTGGTAGAGATCACAGAAAGCATCTGATAAGTATACCTGCAAAGAGATTAATATTTAAATTTATATTCAAATATATGAAAGTTTTATAACAGTTATTGAGCAATAGGCAGTTCCCAAGACTAAACCAAGACTGTTACATTCTTAAAGATACCTGTAGAGGAGAGGAGCATCAATTTAAAATTACTATGTTCACATCAGAAATCAGGGTTAAGAACTCTGCATATTTACAGAGAGTATTGGAAGTTCTTTATGGAGATATTATAAAATCAATGCTGGAATTAAGTCAAGTCTTGTTTAACAGTCTGTGATCTGGTTGTACACAAAGCTAACCAATACTTATGAATTATTTTTATAAGTAATTTAAGTTATGAAACTTTACTGTTTTGTAAGAAACCAGCTGTGAACAGATTGACCTGCTAACATTTACAAACTGAGGCTTTACATTTGATATGGTTACTCTACTTAGATAGGGAAAAGCTCAAAGCAAAGAGCCTTCCACAGCTCCAAATAGCCCTTAAAAGAGAAAAGAAGAGACTTGCATACCAGCAAGAAACCCAGTCATCAGAGCCTAGAATTTATAAAAATATTAACATAGAAGTCCTGAACTGGAGACACAACCAGCAAACTCACTGACTCTAAGTACTGTGAAGCCAGGAGACAACCCAACTTTTAGTAGTTGCTGACTTTTTTTTTTTTTTTTAATGTATCTTTGCTCAAAGCAAAGCTTGGGTTATAGAGTAGCCTTTGCTACCAAATTTTTCGTACCCCAGATCATTAAAACGTTATCACAACATGTTCATTTAAAGAAAGTTTTTTGGTTTGGTTTTTTTTTTTTTTTTTTTAAGCTTACAGCTTAACAGAAGTTAACAGTATAGTTTCATCAATTCAATCTTTCTGAACCCCCACTAAAGCTTTCACAACAAACCAGAATAAGCTTCATAGGCATTTCCTCCTTCATAGACATTTCTTATGTAGTCCCACAATTATGTAATTACCACATCTATTTCTTTCACTTCTGTGGTTTTGTAACATTTCATCATGTCTCACTTCAAGCAGATTTCTTAAATTGCTGCGATTTATCTTTCAAAGCAGGCTATGTCTGCCCCTTTGTTTTAAGTAGTCTATATGATACATTTCTGCAGAATGTCTTATATTATTCCAGTTTGTCCTAGGTGGTTTGAATACAATTCGTTATCTGCCTCAATTATCATTTTTCACCTCATGCCCTCACAATGGCATTTATCACCACCGGGAGGGGCAGTGGTCCACACAACCATAAAGACAAGTGCAAGTCAAAGCTTTTGCCAGCACTTCACATTAATCGTGGGTTTTTGGGGTTTGTTGCACGTTAATGTGACCACATAGAAGCTAAGGTTTTCTCAAGTGTGTCACGGCACAGATCACCTATGGGCAAAGCAGACTGACAGGACACCGTGGCCCTCCCAAAGCAGCCGCTGAACTCCTACCGTGCTCCTGCCGCACCCCGCGTGTCCATCTCCCTGCGTGGGGCTCCGTGCGAACCTCGCTGCTGCCTGCTGCTCCCGGAGAGTCCTGACAGGATGGTGCGTCCTCATTCAAGCGCTGGCACACACCCAGCTCCCGTCTTGGCAGCTTCAGCACATTTGCAGTTCATATTGCTGGGTTATAATTAGTCCTGTTGGCTAAGCAAGAACGCTGCGCCGCGCTCCCGTGCCCTGCGGCGGCTCCGCTCCGCTGCGGTGCTGCACAAGGCTCCTGTGCGCTTCACGCGTCCCCACAGGTGTCAGAAACGCAGAGACCCAGAACAGAGCCCTGCTTTGGCGTCAGATTTGTGCAGCCGTGCAGCTTTCTCAGCACCCCCCGTGCAGCCTGTGGCTCACTTCCACCCCTGCGGCAGCGCTGCAGGTGTCCTGCTGGCACACGGCGTGCCGAACGCCTTCCTGTTGTCTTTTACATCAGAACGCTTCTTTTCCTCTGCGTGACTCAGAGAATCATCCCCCAGGCCAGGAATGTTTGTGCCAGGGCATGGGACACCACCTTGCTCCCAGAGACTCAAGGGTTCCACACTAACTAGAAGAATTTTAAAAACATCTTAATGTTTTCAGGCTCACCCAAGACAAGTAAAAGCCAACAAGAATCCCCGAAGCAAGGAGAAAACAACATTTTGTCACAGTTGGCACACAGACCAGAACGGGACAATATCCTGTTGTTCTTTCTCTCTGTTTTTCACCATGGCAGCAGTATCATCCAGGCGAGGAGACAAAGGGCCTGGGAATGGCTAGCACGCGCAGACACGGACGCTGGATGTGCTGGCAGGATGCACAGCCCTGCTGGAGCCCGGGGCCTTAAAGCACCCCAGAGCCTTGGGAATGCTGAGATAAACTTCCCTGAGTGTAACAATCAATTTCTCCTACCACTGATGTGGATTAAAAAGTATTCAAAGACTTCTTGTATTTTACTTACAAAATATCAATGGAAAATATTGGCCTGAATCAAACCAAAAACCTGAATGTTTGCATAGACACATGGTAATATTGATAAATAATATCACTAAACATAATTATTCTTACCAACTGGCCTTTAGACTCAAGGTCAGATCATGCAAAATCCTTGCCTCGAGCTGTTAGTGCAGGACAACGAGGGTACAGTTAGTGAATATTGCCACAGGCTGCCATCCCCCTGCCCCAGCTCAGCGTTAAACCGGGATTACTGCTGGACCCCCTTGCTGTCATTTTCATTCCAGCTCTGTCAATACCGAGCTCATGCAAGGAGCTGTGTATTTCAGCCTAAATGCCTTCTAAAACCACCATGCTTCTAATTTGTTCATTATCCCTCCTTTGCTCATCTGTCATCAAGATCATGTTAAAATCCTCAAACACTTGTATGTTTGAATGACATATTTGAATGACAAGGTGTGGCAAAAGACAGCAAAGCTTGTAAAAGTTTTGAGCATGGAACTTAGAGAGTGCATCTTGCTTGGTAAAAAGGTGAAGAGTACAAAACAACTATTAACACTTTGGAAGAACCCTGCGGCCAAAACAGCTAAAATCTGCTGTAGAGTGAGCTTAGCTGCTTGCAAGCAGCATCCTGATTTTACCAGTACGTACAGATTATAGGGATGCATTCCTCAAACTATATAATAATAATGCTACTATATATCATAAATGTGTATACTGGTCTCCCATCCTGGAGCTTCGCAGAAAGCTGAGAATAAGGTTTTACCTGTGCCCTTCAATAACCTAGGTGTGTAGGATTTTTGGAATTGGAATTGGGGTGTACTCTCTGAGGACATCCTTCTTTCCAAAGCTAAGTAGACATATATTTAAAAAATAACTCTTCAAAACCAAACCAACCAACAAAAAAAAAAAAAAACAAAAAACAAAACAAAAAACCCAAAAAAAACCCTCACACATAAAACCCCCCAAACCGCAAAGGCAGTCCCTCTGTTTAAAAATGAAAATGAGCTAAATCACCTTAATCTTGAAAATAAAAATTTATTTTCAACTAAGTGTCCATTCCCCTTCAAATAAGAAGAAAAGCCAAGAGACCAAAGTATGTGTTCTGCTTGAAAGTTAAAACAACTGCAAAAGAAATCAACTAAGGTTTGCTTGCAATCTTACCAGAAAAAAACAGTAAAAATAATGAAAAGCAAACAAATGGTTGGCAACACACCCACCACCAATAATGTAAACATGTTGAATGGATCAAGTGGCTTGTAAATTATGAAATTTAATGTTATAAAAAGAAAACTATGATGATAAATTTCCCTTCTTTACAGAAGGGGGAAAAGCCTTAACAAGAAAACGTAGAGCTCCTCAGGCACAGCAGAGGAGCAAACATGACGGCCAAGGAAAAGCATACGAGGGAAGCAGGAAAAGCAGGAATCGCCCTCATTCAGAGAGGGCTGCAGAAGAGCATCCCTCGGCGTGGATGGGCGGGCAGTGTTCCTCCCGAGGCCGCCGCGGCCCGAGGACACGCCGTGACCTTGACCGCGGCGATGCTCCGGGGCTGCCGCGCCGGGGACGCCGCCAGGGGGCGCCCCGCGCAGCCCCCCACGCTCGCGGCCTCCCCGCCCCGCCGCTCCCTCAGGAGCCTCGCGCGCCTCACGGGGAGCCACGGCCGCTCTCGGCCCCAGCGCAGCTCCTCACTGCAGAACCGGGCCAGTGTCCGGAGCGGGGCCCAGCCGAACCTCCGGCAAGCCCGAGCGCCCGGCACTGCCGCAGCTCCGCCCTCGCGGGAGGGGTGTGCTTTGCGCGCCAGAGCCAGCAGGGGCCGCCATGCCCCCACCGTTCCCGCCTCCGCCCTTCCCCGGCGCGGAAGCCGTCGAGCGCCCCCAAGCGGTCGCGCTGTAACACGGCCGAGCGTGAGTGAGCGCGCTCCAGCCAATCGCCGCGAGCCGTTCGCGTTACGCCGCTTCCTATTGGCTGCCCGGCGGAGGCGGCCGCCCAATGGGCGCGGCGGAGCGCGAGGGGAAGGCACGCGCGCGCGGGAGCCGCCCCCCTTTGCGGAGCGCGCGGCGCGGCGCGGACCGGCCCTGCTGCTGCTCTGAGCGACCATGGCGCTGCCCAGCAGTTGACGTTTGGCTTCTCCCCTCTCCACCTTCTCCTCTTTCTCCGGCCCCTTCCTTCCCTCAGCCCGGGTCCCGGCTCAGGCACGTAGACGGCCGGTACCGGAGACACCGGGTCCCCCCCCCGCCCCTCAGAAACAGGCAGTAGGAGTCGGGCCGGGCGGCCGCCGGACGCGCCATGAACATCATCATCGGCATCGGCGGGTGAGAGCCGGGACCGGGCGGGGAAAGCGGGTCGGGCTGCGGGACGGGCACGGGTCTCTCGTCCCGGCCCCTCCCGGTGCCGCAGTGGGGTGGGGGGGGTGGACGCGGCCCCACGTGGCGCTTCCCGACGGCCGCGCTCTCGCCGCAGGGTCACCAACGGCGGCAAGACCACCCTGACCCGCCGGCTGATGCGGGCCCTGCCCAACTGCAGCGTGGTGCACCAGGATGACTTCTTCAAGGTGAGCGGGCCCGCCGGCCCGGGAAGGCCGCGGGAGGGCGCGGGGTGACCCCCGCGGGCTTCCGCCCGCGCTGCTGGCGCGCTGCCCGCCCTGCGCCGCCCTGCCCGCGGCCGCCGCGCTGCTGGCGGGGCCGTGCGGGGCCGGATAAGCCTGCGCTGTAGCGGGTCCCCACGACTTGCCGCGGAGCGCCGTGCTCGTGTCCGTGGGAAGATAGAGGAGCAGGCGGCTTTATCGTACTGCTCGTTTTATCTGCATGCAAAGGAACCTGGTGGAGGGTTAAGATTCCCCTTTGTAGCTTCAGGGTTTGGATCTTGAATCTTGCTTTGAAATGGGTGTTGAGCTTCTCAGTCGTTGTCCTGACCAAGCAGGTTTGTTTTTCTTGTTACTGTTTCAGCCCCAAGATGAAATAGAAGTTGAAGATGGGTTTAAACAGTACGACGGTAAGCCTTTGTTAGTGTTTTCAAAACATAACTCAAAATCTTAAAAGAGTATATTGATTCTTTATGTGCACTGTTTTGTACTGACTGTATCACTAGATGATATTTAATTACTGCTTAGTGATAGTTTTCTGTTTTGTCTTAGTGATTAGTGCATTAGATATGGAAGCTATGATGAGTACCATAAATGCTTGGATAAAAAACCCAGTCAAGTTTGAACGTTCTCATGGAATCAACAACACAATGGATGCCCAGATCTTGGAAGATAAGGAGGGAGGAGATGAAACGATCCACATTCTTATTGTTGAAGGCTTCCTACTTTACACCTACAGGTAATCAATTGTGCCTTCACACATTTTGATTTTTACATTATTTTATGTAATGGGCAAACCTCCAAGGGACTAAAAAGACTTGTTCTAAACCAAGAGTTAGCAGCTGGCATTGACTACGGCCAAGTTTAGGTGTCACAAGTCTAAACGTGGCTCTAAGTACAGGAAATGGGTATAGTTTTACTTTTCTGGGTTTTGCTATTAATTAGTGGAGAAGTAACCAAGCAGGCATCTCTTTCAGGCCACTGATTGATGTGTTCCACCATCGGTACTTTCTTTCCATTCCATATGAAGAGTGTAAAAGGAGAAGAAGGTAAGTTTGTCTGAGTTCTCTGCTATTCCAATAACATCTTACTCATTCAAGTATTTTTTTTCAAAAACTTTAAAAGACTTTAACATTGCCCATTCAAGACTTTGTTTCTCTGGAGCTTTTAGATGAGAAGAGATAAAGGTAAATGTAGTTATTGAGTTGGACTATAGCTTCCTTCACCAAACTGACCAAAAACTTCTTGTGTATGTAATGCTCAGTTTCTGCACACACCTTTCACTAGACCTTCTCCCATGCTGGTTTTCCTATTAACACAGTTCCCAGGTCTCAAACTATTTGAGGTTTTACATTTGGCTGTGTTGCACACATACACTGTTCTTACTGCAAATGAAAAATTGAATAAGATTTCAAGAGGAATAAGCAGTCAGCTAATTTACCCAAAGTTCTGCTAAAGTTTTAAGAGTTTATTAATCAGTATTTAGATCAGTCTGTCTTGGGAACTCCTTTTGCATTTTAAAGACTTTGGACCTGCACATCAGTTTCAATTTACTTGCCTAACTTGATGCTTGCAGCTCTTGCTAACTACGAACTTCTCATAAGCTCAGAAACCAAACTGGAGTCAATGGGCTTAGGCTAATGTGTAGGGAAACCCAATGAAGGATCTGTCATTTCCCTGAACTGTTTCTAGTAACAATGCCTTCATTTACAGTTCAAGGAATTACACTGTACCGGATCCACCTGGATTGTTTGATGGCCACGTTTGGCCTATGTACATAAAGCACAGGAAGATAATGGAAGAACTTGGAGTTGATGTGGGTAAGTCTTTAATGACAAAAGCACTTTATGAGATTGCTTTTCAAACCAGTGCAGTACATATTGGTCAGATGCATGAGAGGAGGTGGAGGGAGTATATTTCTCTGA